GTGGGGGAGGGAATGAGAAATGAAGCATATAGAAGGTAAGGTTATAAGATGGAATCCACTGGGGTGTTTGTGAAATTACAAGATTGTCCTACTTGTTGAGGTCATTTTCAATTTGAATGGTTGTATTTAATGGGTTTTCGTGTTAAGTTTGGAGCTTTGTTTAACGATGGAGGTCGGTTGAATGTTCTTCTATGGGTATAAAAAGAGATGAAGTCAAAGGAGATAGGCCAAGAAATTCAACGCTGTTTTCAGCATATTCATATGTGGGTCCTTCTTGGGAAGGGTAATTTGGACCCTCTGTTGTTTATTGACACCGATCTCTATGTATCAATATGTGGGACCAGGATTACTTGAATTAACTCATGTCGAATTTTTAAGGACCATATAGCTTGGTAAATGTTTATATGTTTTGTTATTTATGAGATTACAAAAAATAAAAGTGTTTTTAGTTTTAACTTATTTGAATGATTTTGATTTGTTAAAGGTACTAAGAATCAAATTAGATCTATAATATCCATTCCTTATTCATATAGATACATATCCACAAATATTGATATAACCTCATGACAGGAAGTTGGAAGAAACCAAAATAATATATTATTTTTTAGTATTAGAATATTCCAAAAAGGTTTCCTTGAATTTACATAAAAGAACTACCGACTTTGTTTTACTAATGTGATGAGGCGAAGGGATATGAATTATTTTTGATAATTTATGTTTCACAAACTAATACAAAAGTTAGTTTTTAACTTATAAGCTATCTTATCATAAGCTATCTCAAGTTAACTTATCAATAATTTGGCTTATAAGTTATTTTTACGGTTTTAACAAACGCTAAATTACAATAAGCTAGCTTATTTTTGTCAAACATGCATTTGATTTTGTTTTCTACACATCTCATGTCATATGAAAGTTGAGAATAAATGGAAAAACAAGACTTATGGAAGGGAAGAATGACAAGGTTTTCCATTAACATCACTTTGGTTTTTTACCTTGATTCTGGAAGAAAATGAGAAGAAGTTGCATTGGGTTAAATGAGACCATGTGCTCAACGATAAAGATCAAAGTGGGTTGTCGGTAGGAAGTCTCTTTATGCTTAATCAAGTCTTGTACAAGTGGAGGTGTAGATTTGTTAATAGTAAGTTTAGAAGGAAAAACGAAAAGAGTTAGAGTTGCGGAGCAAAGGGGATAGGTGGTGAGGAGAAGTAAAATTAAGTCACTCTGAAAATTTAAATTTTACTGCAAATTCTTGAGTTTGGCCAACTACAAGTTTATAACGTATATTATATTTATAAAAATATGGAGTTTATAAAAAATGATATATAATTATAGGGGCTATATTTGAGTCATATTCAAGTCGAAAGTCTTGAGTTTTGGCCCTAAGTCTCTAACCCTACCTGTTTAATTATCGTGTTGTAACACATGTTTACCATAATAGATCGGTTGAGGGGTTAAAAGGATCAAAGGTAACGTTTTTAGGAAAAACCTTGTGCCACGACCTGGTGAATGGGACACCACGACGTGAAATCCCAATTGCATGAACGCGTATCTGGGATGGCTGTCACGACGTGACAACAGCTGCACCCTAAACCCATGATCTTTTACGATTTCTTCCATATTTAAGACCCTAAACTCAAGGTTTAGGGTATCCCTTTCAGCCTCCAACCCTTTCAACGAAACTCTAGCCTCCATTGTTGAGTTCTTGAGCTTTTGGTGGTGTTTTTGGTATCTTGAAGGAGAATGATGCATCCTTGGTGCATAGATCCAACTTGCAAGTCTCATCATCATCTTCTAGCACTTACTCTGGACTGTTGTGAGTTTTCAAGTTCCAAACTTTATGTTTCATGTGTAGCACCCGAGTCGCCAGGTATGAGTTAATGATTCCTTCTATTTAAATTCAAGTAAAAAGGTGGTGGGGGACTCGTGAGTACGTTGGGCGTACGTTTGGTACGCACGACATACTCCTTGCATGCGCTTCATCGGGTGATCCCCGGTGTACGCTGGGCGTACCCATGCGTATGTTGGGCGTAATCAAGCCAGGGGAAAACCCTAATTTTTAGGGTTTGCACCCCTATTTAAAGACCTTAAGTCCCTCAAGTCCTTTACACTTTCAGCCTCCATTGCCCTTTTAATGTCAATCTCGCACCCTAGCCTTCTTGAGTGCATCTTCGAGCTTACCTTGAGTATTTTGGTGTTCCTTGGTGGTTTTGAAGAAAAAGGAGGTTTGGTAAGAAGCAAAGGAGAAGAAGGAGCTTGTAGATCCAGAGGTTGTGCACCATTTATAGCCTATTGAAGGTATAAAGTTTGAACCTTGATCATTACAATCTTAGATTTAGGTTTAGGGTAGAATATGACATCTTTTGGTCCCATAACTTGGTTTCTTGGAGTATGAGCAACTCTAGGCCATTTGAGCTGTCCTTTTGGACTCTTGGAAGTGTTTTCAGTCATAAAAATCGGATCTTGGTGGTTAAGACTCAACCATGCAAGTGTTAGTAACCATCCAAGTGAGTTAATGGACTTAATTCATGGTTTGAGCCCCATCCATGCATGCAAAAGCATTAAGTTTGCAACTTTATGGCTTAAGACGTTATTTTGAGCTTGGATCTAAGTTTTGGACGTAAAGGCTGAATAGATTAAGACTTGGGAATGAGAATGGGCTGACTAGCCAGTACGATGTGCATACTCTAGAGTACGCTGCGCGTCCTGGGTCAGTGTCCCGACTCTGGATGGTCATCAGCGTACACTGGGCATACGATTCGTGTACGTCGCGTGCACGCAGTCTGTGGGCTTAGAGGATTTTTAGGCTCGGTTAGTGTAACGCCTGGAATCTTGAGGAGAAATTGTTGGGGAGTAAAGCCTCTTTTCGGCTTAGACACAACGTGTTAGAGGAACCAACACGACATGTCTAGGGTGGAAGGATCACGAAGATGAAATGAACCAACACGGCGTGTTGGCAGCTGGGAAGGAAACCCTAATTTTTAGGGTGTTGCACCCTATTTAAAGGCCTTAAGTCCCTTTGGTTGCCCTCCTTATTAGCCTCCATTGTTATCAAAACCCTAAATCGAGTTGTAACCTCCATTGTCAAGCATTTGAGCCTTGGAAGAAAGTTTGGTGTTCATTTTGTGCATTGTGAAGGAGTTAGAAGATCTTGAAGTTTCTAAGCTTGGAGAAGGAAGTCTTGGATCCAGAACCACTACCCATTTGGCAAGGAGTTTGAGGTATCAAGTTCTTATCATGATTGTTAGATGCTTATATCTCTTTTATGGGTGAAATTGTTATGTTTTAGCCATGTTTTGGATGGATGTTGGGATTAGGACGTCCCAAAGCCTTATTATTTCAGATCTAGGGTTTTCATGGACTCCTTTGGCAAAAAGGTGCAAGCTTTAAAAGATTCTAGGCCTCATGTATGCATTAAGTCCCTTATTAATCCCTTATTGAGCATTTGAGCTTCTCCTAGGCATGCATGAATGTAAAGTTGGCAACTTGACATGGTCTTCCAGCTCTAGGGTGTCAGATCTGCATTTTGGGGCTTTGTCCTTAATTAAGATTAAGTGCTCAATGGTTAAGCCATCACTCTTTTAAGTCCAGGGTTTGGGTTTGGACCCATTTCGGTGGTTCCTAAGGGTAAAGTTGGAAACTTTACCCTTCTAGATCTCATTTTGGTTGAGATCTGAGCTTTGGAGCTCTTGGATTCAATAAAGGCAGCTTAATGTATTAAGTTGTTGGGTCTTAAGCGAACACGGCGTGTTTGTTGGCCAACACGACGTGTTGGCTTGGTTTTTCCCGATTCGAAGTTGATGGAGAAACACGGCTTGTTGAAGGATAACACGGCGTGTTGGGTCAACATGGATTGTTGGTCTTGAATTTTTACTTTTGTCTTTGACCAAGTATGTCCTAAGGGGTACTTGAGGTAATCTGAATTGTAACTAAGGAAATTATGGGCGTAGGATAAGGCCCATATGGGGTTGGGCCCAATTTGGAAAATTAGGCCATTAGTGGGCCTTTGTGGATCTTTTGGATTTGGGCCTTAGTTTTGGTTCATGTTGGGTCAGGGGTAAAATGGTCATTTTATCCCAAGTATGGATAGTGGGCCTTAAAATGCAACCCAATTGCTAATTGGGTGTTATTTTGATCTGATAGCTCGGAGGTGTCGTCAGGGCAGCAACTAGGGATTTCTTTCAGTGAGCTTCTAAATTCGAGGTGAGTCTCCTCACTAATCTATGGGTCGAAGGCACCAATGCCGGCCCATTTGGTTTATGTATTATAGGAAGACCCAGGGGTGACCCTTGGCATTTTGTATGGAAGACCAGGAGGTGGCTCCTGACAATCTGTATGCAAGACCAGAGTCTGAACTCTGACAGTTATTAGTTAAGTAGTTGTAGGTTGTATGCTAATTGTCTTTGTGATGATTGCATGGAAGACCAGGAGGTGGCTCCTGACACTTGTCTGTGAGACCTAGGGTTTTGGCCCCGGCCTGGCAAGGAAGACCATGAGGCGGCTCGTGGCATAATGACAAGACTATGGTTGGCACATAGCACTTTTATTGATTGATTGGATATGTATGACATGTATGGCTCGTTCGATATGTATGGTATGTGGTATTTGGGGAACTCACTAAGCTTTGTGCTTACAGTTTGTGGTTTATGGTTTCAGGTTTTTCCGGTTCGAAAGGTAAGGGTCCGGCTTGATCGCAACGCATACACCCGTGTTTTCTGCAACATGTGATTTTGGGATTGAACTCTGATAATTGTTTTAATTTGAAATGATTTTAAATGTTTGGATCAAGTTACATCTATGTTTCTATTATAATAAGAATGAAATTTTTACCCTATGATTTTCGGGACGTTACAAGTTAGTATCA